GTGTACCTTCCCTGTCCACATTCCTGTCCCCCCCCCCCCCCCCCCCCAGCCCAAGGAATAACTGACAGACCCTGTGATCCTGTAACCCTGCAAGCCCATACCCTGTCTTATCTCAGTCAACTATATCTCCCATAAAATGTATAGTTATGCAGTGAGACCCTAGCTGGCCAGCTTGAAATAAAAAGAAACCTCTTGCTTTTGCATCAGTGTCAACTCTTTGGGTTAGTCTCTGGGCTCCTTGAACTTGGCACAACTGCATCTCTTTGTCTTCCGTAAGCAACATTTTCTAAGATGACTTTTCAGACCTATAGCCACACCCTAGTAATTAACAAGGTAATTTAAAATATTGCTTTACAGCACTGACAAGACGGTAAATTTCTACCACTCTTAGTGGACTCTAGAATGTAAGAATAAAAGCGACGTTAGTGCCGGGAGGAGGCGCACACTTCCACCACCAGGACTAGAAACAAGAGGAACTTTTGAGCTCCTAGACCTAAACAACCAAGCTCCAATATACTATGTATAAGCAATCCAGCTCTGTTTTGACAACTTAGGTGGCTCTGAAAAGAGCCTTTAGGTCGCAAGACCATCGCGCTCACTTGGAGCTGGTGTACTTGGTGACGGCCTTGGTGCCCTCGGACACCGCGTGCTTGGCCAGCTCCCCGGGCAGCAGCAGGCGCACGGCCGTCTGGATCTCCCGGGACGTGATGGTCGAGCGCTTGTTGTAATGCGCCAGGCGAGAAGCCTCGCCCGCGATGCGCTCGAAGATGTCGTTGACGAACGAGTTCATGATGCCCATGGCCTTGGAGGAGATGCCGGTGTCGGGGTGAACCTGCTTCAGCACCTTGTACACGTACACCGAGTAGCTCTCCTTGCGGCTGCGCTTGCGCTTCTTGCCGTCCTTCTTCTGGGCCTTGGTCACGGCCTTCTTGGAGCCCTTCTTCGGGGCGGGCGCGGACTTGACTGGCTCAGGCATATTGACACTCCGGGTACTGGAACTCAGACGAGGAGCCGGCCGGCGGTTCCCTTTTTATATGCTGTTATTCAAATGAGGCTCAAAAACTCCCACTTCTTATTGGGTGCTATTCTAATGACGTCACCAAAACCTCTTGTCCAATCGAAATACGCGTTGGCACAAACGCTTCCCATTGGTCTACGTGAAAAGAGTAAGTCAGCCAATCGCAAGGGGTCTTTTTCGAGCCCAGAGAAAACTATAAGGGCCAAGCTCCTGCAGTTCTCAGCCTTACTGGATAGCTAATTTTTGTTTCCTTCCCGCCATGTCTGGACGCGGCAAGCAGGGTGGCAAGGCTCGCGCCAAGGCCAAGACCCGCTCCTCCCGGGCCGGTCTGCAGTTCCCCGTGGGCCGTGTGCACCGCCTGCTCCGAAAGGGCAACTACTCGGAGCGGGTGGGCGCCGGCGCCCCGGTGTACCTGGCGGCCGTGCTGGAGTACCTGACGGCCGAGATCCTGGAGCTGGCTGGCAACGCGGCCCGCGACAACAAGAAGACCCGCATCATCCCGCGCCACCTGCAGCTGGCCATCCGCAACGACGAGGAGCTCAACAAGCTGCTGGGCCGCGTGACCATCGCGCAGGGCGGCGTCCTGCCCAACATCCAGGCCGTGCTGCTGCCCAAGAAGACCGAGAGCCACCACAAGCCCAAGGGAAAATGAGTTAACTTGAAAAAAATCAATCACTTAAAGTCAGACCAAAGGCTCTTTTCAGAGCCATCCACTGTATCTTTTAAAGCGCTGGACACTTTTGTACGAGACGGCGGCCTTTTGTGCACTTTACGTTGTCTTAGAACTGCAGTACTCCAGACCCAAGTGTTGTGTGGTTATGCCGCCGATAGTGTTGTGGCATATATTGGCCTACTTTTTAAAGTTTAGGCTTAGCCTATCGAGTCTAGGTTTTTTCCCTGACGTCTTCCCATCTGTAATTTAGCATTAGACGTCCCACGGTAATTCATACTTTTTTTCTCTTGTGTGCTTAAGTTGCGTCTATTTAAGCTAGGGCGTTAAAGCATTTAAATGTTTTGCGATCTCGTTTTTACCACTGAGATGGTCACTTTTGTTTTTTAAAATTAACAAGCTGTGGGGTTTTTGAATTTTTTTTTTTTTTTCTCTGTTGTTCGAGACAGGGTTTTAGTGCGTAGCCCTAACCTGGCCTGGAATCCACCCTGGCCTGCAGCTACTTAAGACATCCGCCTGCGGGTCACCAGGCCGGGCTATCAAATCTTGCTTTGTGTTTTGTTTTTCGAGATCGGGCTTCTCTGTGGAGCCATGGCTGACCAAGCTGGCCAGATCCGTCTGCCTCTGCCTCGGAGGTCTGGAGTCAAAGGGGTGCGCCAACACCGCCCTACTTGTGTAGTTAAATGCATGAATCAATGAATGAATGAATGAATGAATGAATGAACAAATAAAATTTTTTGGCATTATTCGGTCCTTAAACTATAGCTTTAAAGTCAAAGAGCATACTTAGTGTCAAAACAGTGGAAAGAGTATAAATGTAAACGCTACAATTCTTGCCTTTGTACATGCTTTTTAAAAGGCTTATTTATTATGTACACAGCGTTCTTCCTGCATGCCAGAAGAGGGCACCGGGTCTCATTATAGATGGTTGCGAACCACTGTGTGTCAGGACCTCTGGAAGAGCATCCAGTGAGCCCCTTAACCTCTGAGCCATCTGTAGCCCATATTTTGTTTGTTTGTTTGGTCGGTCGGTTGGTTTTTCGGCGAAACAGTCAGTCTAATCGCTCCGTAGACCAGGCCGTCCCAGGCCGTCCTCGAACTCACAGAGATCTGCCTGCTTCTGCCTCCCGAGTGCAGGGATTAAAAGACTACGCCACCACCGAGCGTCCTCTTTGTATATTCTACAATAAATTTTTGTTTTCCAAGGACACGGCAGGGATCCCATTAAACGAAAATGGTAAAAGGCCCATTAAACATTCTCAAAGATTCAGAGTCCGCACCTGACTCTTCCGTTGTTCGCCACATCCAGGTTAAATAAGGATGGTCGTATACAAATAGTCCTAAAGAAAAACGTTAAGCGTGGGGAGATTTTGAAATCAGCGTCCTCTCCACTTATAATCTGTAGTGTTAAATTGGCGCCGAGGGCCCCTCCCCCTCCACAAGCCACAGGCCCTTCCCGCCACTGCGCTTCCTGTTTTCACTCCGGTCCGCGAGTTCCCTATAAGGGCGAACTGCTGGCTGGGAAATGCTGTCAGTCGGATTTCTTCCTTCTGTCTAGCCATGTCTGGTCGCGGCAAGGGCGGGAAAGGCCTTGGCAAGGGCGGCGCCAAGCGCCACCGCAAGGTTCTCCGCGACAACATCCAGGGCATTACCAAGCCCGCCATCCGCCGCCTGG